CCCCAAAACCCCAAAACCCCAAAACCCCAAAACCCCAAAACCCCAATCTCTTCGTAAATTATAGAATAAATAACTTTCATGGCTTCATCCCTATTCAGCTCTTGCACTGGAGAGGAAAAAGGTATTTCCTTTCAACATTAATTCTTCTAGAAAATTGAATAATGAGAAAGATTCTCTCGGTGATATCAATTTTAATCTTCTGATTCTGAGTAATATCTATCATAACCCTGTACAAGCACATGGACCAGTTCTTTCAAGTGCGGAGCCGGCTACTAATCATATGCCTAAGCATGGTCTCCATGTTCTTCATAATTTTGCATTACTCAGCTGGGTTAGCGAAGGAATATGCGATCGTGTTGGTGATCATCCAAGAATTTTTTAAAAGTTCGTCCATGCTCTATGTAATTTACTTTTACATCAAGAATGCCACCGAATTTGTTGATGAAGAAAGAGGAAAATAAAACTATTGCTTTTTTGAAGGTATTCTTTTGTCTCTTCATCACTTTCTTTGGCATTCTGATGTTCATTTGGGCAGTACTTTGGATTGGAAAATATATCACCAACCCGCCTTGCAGAGACATTGTCTGGCTGCTTTACCGATTAATCACTCTATCTCTAATCATCTTCACTGTTTTTGTGGGTATTCGTATTCAAAAACGGGTTAAGGCAAAAACAATTTTGCTGTATGGTTATGATCGCAGGACTTCAAAACTAAAAGAGGAAAAAATTCCACTTCATCATGAGATTACAGTGGGAAGTGTAGTAGAAAGCACTGAGACCCATTCAGACCTTTCAATAGGGGTTTTGGCAAATACTCAACAGCATGATTCCATAAATAAGACTCTTCGCCATATGTGGGTTTGATTTGCAGTAATTATCTTTATATGACTCTGAGATTGAATCTATAATCTTTATTGGCAGTTTGTTCCAGGCTTTGAAAGTTGAGACAAATTCACCAATAACCCGATGGCAACCGCTTGGATCTTCCTTTTAATCAGACTCATAAGCCTTTTTCTTATATTCTTCCCTGTCATATTCACCTTCTTAGGATGGAAATTTGTAACTTATGTCTTCTGATGGCCTTGAAAGAAGAAAAAGCAAAGAGACCCAGACGAAGATGCTGAGTATTACTCTGACCTCTAAAAGCCGGTACTTTGAGCTATTCTCTCCATTTTCAATGAAATCTCAAAGACGGTGTCTAATTCATAAAAATATTTCCTGCAACTGTTCAAATTGTTCACTTTGGTTGGAGATTATTCTGCAAAAGCTTCATTTGTGAGTCTGCCTGGTCCGTACCGCTTCAAAACTCTCAACACGAGTTTAAATATTTGGGGTTTTGGGGTTTTGGGGTTTTGGGGTTTTGGGG